TGACCCTGTTGCGAAAACAAGGTCAAACAACTTCTAAACATGAATTATCTTTCCGAAAAGGTTTTGACACATTATGGATAAATACATAGCACAAACTAATCGATGCTGGGAGGCAGTAGGCAGGGTTAAAATAGAAAATTCTGCTGCGCAAAATCCCAACTGAAAAAAGCCTGTGAACCATCTTTCCACAAGAAATAAAGAATAAGGCACGAACAGTTTAACTGGCTTTCAGAAATCAAATTTTTCAATGCAGGCTACTTAATATTCGAAACAATTCGACACAACAAAATACATCATCTCAAGTAGCAAGGTGTATGCGCAAATGCAAGACACCATAACCATTTCCAGGAGTCAAATGATATCAGACGAGATGAAAAGAGAAAGAAGCAGATTCTTGAAACGTTTTTAGAAAATAATAAACAACTAAAGCATTTATTATGGAAGATAACAATAAAGCATTTGGACTTAAAGGTAAAATCAACAGATGAAAAGCAGTTATATTTAATCTCTTTGCAACAGTCGACAAAGCTTGCCTAGCAAGAAATTAATATCTGAATTATTTCTAGACCATTATGTAAAAAATCTACGTAATAAATTATGTATTTCAGTCTAGGGCTATCCTCGGCTAAACAGGCACGCCGTATGGCATGAAGACCAAGATAGTGTGGCCTTTTGTGTAATCGCAGTCTCCTTTCTTTGCATAGAGGTTGTTTGACCTTGTTTTCACAACAAGGCCATATTAGTAGGAAAACTTAGAGGAACGCACCTAGTCCGGAGTATATTGTCTGCATGATCATTTCCAAAGTCTAACCGTGGACGTGGTACATGCTAAACATTTCGCCGGCATCGTCGGTGAGTAACGCCATTCTTAGCAGCATACAACAACTAGTCAAAGAGACAAGTGAAGCCGATCCTTTGACCAAACGTATGCTAAACAATTGTGGTATCTCCCCTTCTGCCTTGGGTTATTCGAGTTTCCGGTAGCATCCTATCATGCCTTAACTATTAGAAAGGAACACACCACTATATCTAAATTGGTAATAGTGAAGGCATGATAGGATGCTACCGAAAACGCCAATAACCCAGGGCAAAAAAGGAGATACCACAATTGTTTAGCACACGTTTGGTCAAATGATCGGTCTTACTTGTCGCTTTGACGGGTTGTTATATGGTGTTAAGAATGGCGATACTAATTGACGATGCCGACTACGATGCTGGCGAAACGTTTGGGAATGTACCACGTCTACGGTTCAACTTTGGAAATGATCATGTAGAAAATTGACTCCGGACTAGGCGCGTTCCTCTAAGTCTTCCTACAAATATGACCATGTTGCGAAAACAAGGTCAAACAGCCTCTAAGCACACCGTATCATCATAAAAATGATAGAATAGGGCTAATGTCGAGGAACTCACTTCATACATTCGGTTGACCTGATCATCATCTATTAGGTCGCCCAAAGACCTGTCAAAGTCATCGAGAACTTCATTCAGCACTTGAGGGCTGACAGGTGGAGGCTGAGGTTGAAGGTCTCCTTGGCGTGAGTAACGCGGCGACAGAGACAAGTAATTGGCCAATTCGCTGCCAATGGCATTGGCAGAAGGTGGTCGGCTACGTCTAAATGCTTGATGAGTAGCTTTCTGATCACACTTTATAGGAAGAAAGAAAATGATGTAATTATAAAAATGATAGTTGCCGAATAATATAGAGATAAACAATGGGCCTTATTGAATGAACATAAACAATGAATTATAGAATATTCTTTGAAAATGTCTATCTGGCTATCATGCCACTGCACCGAGATAGATCAGAATATGGTAGCTAAATTTTTAAAAAATATTGCTTGAATATTTAATCAAATAGATAGATGAATTCAGGTAAACATGGGATCAAAGACACGAATAATCATAAAGGGCAAAAAGTGAACCAACTTTCTAAAAACTTATAAAACAAAACATAGATTGTAGTCGATTTAAAGCTCTTTTTGCAGCGGGAATTATTTCGATAAAAGTTGCATACGTGTAGATGGTGGTAAATAGTTTTTTAAGGTCTTTAGTAGTCAAGCGAAGTTACCTATCATTGAGGAATCTATTTTAGCTTGAACAAGCAATTAACTTCATGGGCAAAATCTAAAGTGTAAAGCCAGGTATATCAGGATATTAACATCTTAATCAAGAAAGTCAGTCAAGAATACAGTGGAAGGAGGCTAATTTTCTCATAACCTGGATTAACTCAGGCATTTGATGCTGCCTCATTAATACAATATCACACCAAATAAGAAACTAATATAAGAACTGAAGGGCTGATAGTCCTCCGTCACCCGAAATAAAAGTGAATAGCCTTCCTATTCAAGATCTTCAGGCAGTCTCGAAACCTTACGTCAAAACGAAGAATCTAGTATTTTAGTCGCGGTAGAAGCCGACAGTCAACTAGGATAGGATAAGGAGTGGATCTTGATGACTTAAGTATATTTTGTGTAAAATAATTTATTTTGGCAGGATCAATTTTCGGGATAAAGGATTAAATTCATAATAGAGATTTTGACTTTCTATTAACACGACAAACCATAAATGGCGAGGCCTTAATAATGATTTCGACAAATAATTATTATTGCTACTAGTATCCGCAACGACTTAAACATTTCTTAAAACAAACTTTCATCTAAAAGATGTAGCTCTGGTAAGAGGCCAGATCCAGAATGAGAGGAATGGGATGCAAATTTTATCCTAGGAAATATTAATCCCAGTAAAGCAAGGTTGCATATTTATTTCGTTTTGTTTCTTTTTGCGTCAAGACTGAGAAGAATCACTAGTATAATAGCTAAGGTTCACATTTTCTTAGATCAAAATTTTTAGGTATATAAGATAAACTACCGCAATTAATCTAGAATTGAAAGATGGCTAGATGATTGATCATATGAATTAAAATGTTAAAGAAATAATAAAAGGTAAATAGTGTGATTTTTGCATAAACTAAAGTCTTTGCATACAATTTCTGTTGACTTGAAATCATGGTGCTGAGTGAGAGTATGAGGCAAAAGTAAACTACTAAAGCAGAATTAACCTGAATTTAGGAAGCAAAATATTTCTGAATTTATTATACAAGAAATACTTATACCAAGTTGCAGGTCCATATACACTAATAGCTCCATAATCTAAAAATAAGAATCAAAAGTTCTAAAAAGACTAAGATGAAACAATAATAACTCAATAATACTACTTTTTTGGTTTTGAGTCACCAATAATTTTCTTGTGTTTACGTGGATATAAGGACTTCCAAAAACGAAATAAAATGTCGCACTCGACCTAAATACTCATACAACATTCAGAAATTCATTAAAATGGGAAGGCAAAGTTTGATTATTATGGAAGACAATATGTTCGGTCAGTTTTCCAACATTAAAGAGTGGTTTCGAATTCGAAGGAGGCCTGTGAAGTGGTATATTGAAATTCTTTGAGAAAATAATTGTGAATAGTAAATTTCTATAGGTAAAGCTACCTGTTTATTGCGTATAAGCTGACGTTTGCGAAATGCCGATTCAGAGAAGGAACCAGAGGAAGGAAAATAGGATTGCAGCCTGCTAAGAATCACGGTCAATCGTTCGGTGAGAAGGGCTACCGCCAGAGAGAACACAATACCAGACAGTTGGTATTGCCATTCTTGAAGCTAAATAAAGAAAAAAGAGATACTTCCTTAAGTTATAGAATGGTTGGAATGCAAACAGAGGATTTTTCGTTATGAGTAGGTTTTAGAAACTCATGATCTCATACATAAAGAAAGAAGATCTTGAAAAATAAAGGTACCGTAAATATGGAAGAAAAAAACGAAAAAAAATTGTATTAAAGTGCACAAAAGAGCATGGCTTGAAAAATACAGAATTGATATATACTGGTAGAAATAGATACAATTAAAAAGATAGAGGAATAGATGAAAAATATTCAAATGTATTTAACCATGGATAGAATATTAAGAGACGAGAGAAAATGAGTGAAAGAGACTAAAAGTAAATGGACAGAAAATCGAAGGTGCTGGAACAGACCAGTGAGCGATTTTAACTTTAGGCGGATGTGAGTTCAATGAACTTCACTTAAGAACAGCTTGAAATCCATTCGAGCACTCAGATTGGGAGTCATGACCAAAAATAAATAGAATCGTAGGAGCCCATATACTTGCTTAACTATGAAATACATTGAGCAAACATGAGATTAATATTGGAAAGCAGTAGTATCCATATGCTTAAAAATAAGTCCCTATTTTGAATAAGAGATAATTAAATAATAAAGATAACCTTTTCTCAGCAAATGCACTCATTTCGCTCTTATAAAAATGCGTGCAATAGAAACGAGAAATTTTGTCTTTTCGGAGTTTATCGCTTCTACCTTATTTTTTAAGCCTAAATCATTCATTTAAAAAGATCGAATTTGAAAACATAGTTTCGCACAGATTTAACATTTCTTAGCGAATAATTCCTACCATAGATTGGATACATAAAAACATTGGTCGGCAGTCATGAATAAACGCTGAATAAGAGCAGACGATCAAATACTGTCTAGGTTCATGTGAACCGGATATTATTAATCCGTTTAGTCCCGAACGCCAAGAAATTCTAAACTGTTGTACTCTCTCTATTTGAATGTTTTAACTTATAAAGACCATTGTAAAGAAAGGCGAGCGATGGCGACAAAGTATAAGATTAGATTAGTATTCATTACATTTGAATTACATATGCAATTTTTTCAATTTGTATTACTTTTTAAAATAAGTAATAATACAAAGGTACACAAATAGGATACTAGCTCTTATTTAAAATCTAGTGATAGTTCCAAGCCTAGTATTGGGGCAACACTATTTC